GACCAGAGACGTAACAGTACTTTATTATTATGGTATATGAATAAACTTGGCATCACAATATAGCTAATAATTCAAATTTTAATATTTTATAAGTTTTAAGTTCTTAATTTTATAAAGCAATATTAAAAAAGAATCTCTAATTTCCCCTAGTATGAGAATTGTGACATTTGCTCTAGATATTTCTTCCTCTTCTCTAATTAATTTAATAACCCTATGAGAAGTATGAAATTTAATGTAAATTACTCATTATAATGTCAGCACTCAGGCAAAGCATAATTTTTATAGCCTTCAATCTTATTTAGTTACAGAGCCATAAACTAGAAAATCAGACCCCCTCTTCTCATGGCCACCTGTTACATCCTCTCTGACAAATTGCCAATAGTTCTCTATGACATTTAATACTATGTTATTTATAACCAATAGAAAATCAAAGTTTTAATCTATCAAATGAGGTATTATATTATGTTTTTTACTGTACAGAGAGTTGTCTATTTCACTTCCAATTCAAACTTTATTCCCATGGGAAATGCAGAGATGAGCTAAGCTGAATTTTTAATGACTCCTGTTGCATAGTTAGAAAGCCAGAAAAATTGTGATAATTACAGGACATTTTTTCCTTTATGTATGTTATTATTGTGTGCTCTTTGGTGAATGATCATGGAAAAAGCTGGCACCAGGGAAGTGACTACCCACTACTTGGCTTATGCTTGCCCACTTTTTAGGTTTATTGGGATTACCCATTGCATTGTCTCCACTAAAAGACCTAAGACCTTTCTGGCTGGTGGTCTGACAGGGATCTGGATACTTCTCCAGGTCTCCTCTCAGTGCAAATTCTCCCCCCTTTCTTCTTCAAATGTAGTACAGGAGACCTTTGCCACTTACCAGTTCCTAGCTGCTGGGGTGGTGGGCTGTGGAGAATCCTCACCACTTGGGCTTAATGCAGTATGGTGAGAAGTAGGGTAGTCCTGACATTCTCAGTTGAATACAGGTCACCTTTCACACAGCTAATTTGCCTTCCTCCTGCAGTAAGAGTATGTCCAGTAGAATTGGGGTGATTACACACCGTACTGTAACTGGCAGCACCCTTAGGACAAAACTGTTGGAGTTTCAATTATACTGCCGATTACACCAAATTTATTTAGTTGAGGATTTGCAGTGGTAATTGGAGCTCACAAGTCGCTAACTCGAGGTAATTTACAGTTAGAATAAAGAAAATGAGTCGAAGACTAACATTGAACAAATTACAATAACATTTAATAACTTTTTCCATATAACATTCAAAATGAATTCAATAATCGTTAATTTCTCATAACCTTTACTGTTACTGTTAATTCGTATTGACAATTAGTACACATAGAATACATTTCTTTAATACAAATATGAATAACCTTTACAATTAACTACATTAATTGAAGCTTGAGAGTCAGAAATTCTACTTACAACATAGTTGGTGGGATGTACTTCTGTAGCTTGGATACCTTAAAAATTTTCCTGATAAATTTGCTAAGGAGGCATTAGGAGATTCTGGAGACTTGAAGAGCTCAGAAAAGACATGACTTTCTGCCTCTGACATGAGTTTTTAAGCAACTTTTCTTTGTGTTCCTACGAATTATCAAATAGTATACAGAACTGCCTGCAGTTAGTTCTCACACCTTATTGGTCAATCTGTGCAACTTCCTGGGCTAGTCCAAAATCATAACCAAAACTCTCAAGAGATTGGTTACTGTTATGGTGAGTTAGCCGGTCGCCTTCTTAGTTGTACTATAACACTATTATTGTGTAAGGAATATATCATAAAAGTACCATTTTTGCGTGTTAACATCAACTTTTTCATAGCTTCCACAGTACTAATGAGTTGACGTTAGTAATTAATTACTGTCAATCACTGGTGCTAGTGCATCTACTTTGTTGCTAGGCAATAGCGTCATTTTTATATAACTCTTTTGTAACTTATGATTCTCAATACCACTACTTTCTAGCTACTTAATATCAACCTAGTTTCTCAAAGCTTTTTTTCTTTAATATACATATTACATTTTACTTTTTTATATTGCTCTCTCAATAAAAACACCTTAAATTGAGAAATTACCATGAAGCAATTGCATGAATTCCTCAAAATCCTCAATTGCTTCAATACAGTCTGATAGTGCCTTAACAACACTACATATATTGGCTTGCTGACCACTTGTGTGCAGGTGCTCAGTTGGTCATTATCACATTCCACCCATCTCTGTGATACTTCAGGCTCTTTTGCCTTTTTCTTCCTTTCACCTCGGGCAAAGTGTATACCTTGGTCAAGACAAGATGTGGTCTCCCATGTGTGTGTCTCTATGGAGCTCTTGCCTTTGGGTGTCACACTCCATGGGCTTTCCATTTAACCACTTTCTGAAGGGAGCTTATCTGGGTTTAAAATTTAATGATATGTCATCATACACAAGGCAGTTCACATTAAATATGTAAAGTTAGGTAGAAGTTGCTCAAGGCTAGTGACATGCAAATTTCACGGGCAAATATGCGAGTGAAATAGCATGTGAATGAAGAGTTACACATTTTACTCTCTCATTGCAAATACCAGTTGGTGCCTGGTGTTTATTTTCATATAAGCCATATAAAATATGAGATTAAAGCCAAAACATTTCTAGTTGTGAGGGTACCCAACTCTCGAAACATTGCATTCTAATCATTATATGATTTTGTTGCGACATTGCATACTCCAACTTAGACTGGTATACTAAACCAGTTATATTAATTAATGAGTTGATTTTTAATTCTAATTTATTTGGGTAACTTGCTCTGATCAGAAGTTAATGATAAAAAAGTTATGGAAGTTAACATTTAAGATGTTTTTACATCAAAACACTAACTAAAATAGAATAGAAAAAATGCATATTGTTTACAAAGCATATGAAACATTAATCATTCAATATTTTGACACACACAGTTCATTAATATATGAAACACCAATATTTTCAGTTAACATTCATAGAATGATGTATAACTATTTAGTTTGACACTTACCAAGGGCATCTTCCTAGAATGAGCTAATTTAAGGTGTGTTTTGGTCCAAGTAAGTGTGTTCAAACTGAATTCAAGGATTCATGGTTCCTGTTCTGTTACCGAAAAATTCTGCTCTGCACTTAGAGGTCTTGGGTGTGTTATAAGAGTAGTGGTCAAATCCCACTGCTTGGTCATATTGACTAGCCTAAGAATTGGTTGTGGGTTCTGTTGGCTAGCCATCTTTGCACTAGACTATCAGTTCTGTGCACAGATAGCCCTTGTATGATTTTTGCAAAACTTCTAAAAAACAACATAAACAATAAAATATTTATTTTTATAATTTTAATTGTTTTTCTTCTTCAGAGAGTAGTATGTAATTAATTTTTCTTTCAAGCAATGCAATATGCATTATTCTAAAGGCTTCTGCTTTCTTTGTAACCATGAAAGGCATGACAAGTATTTTCTGTTTGTGATAGTGTTAGCCCAAAACAAACAAGCTGTACCTTCAGTCTTTTATAAGACATATAGTGTACTGCCCATCTTTTCGTATGTACCAGAAATAATTATATTCTTTCCTACGTCTTGTAGTTGTTACATTTCAGATTATTTACTTAGCAGACCTAGTATTTCCATCTGTGGACTAGTTGTTTTACAAGGAAAAAATTCCCAGAGATATTAAGGGTTATGCATATCATAAATGTAGTTGTGCACGGTAAAACCTCAAACATTAAGGGCACCCTTCTGACTGTGTTCAAATGTCCTCTATAGCAAGGTGCCTTTAATATAAATAATGAGCCACACAAAGCTGGATTTCATATTAACCATACTAAATTTCTGATTTCACATTTATTTTCTACGTTTATTTCACTGTCAAGATCTGAAGTAGAAATCCATTGAAAATAAAGCAACAAATCACCATTTCTGTCATTAGACTGTTTATGTGCTCTGAAAACACAATGTGGAATTTATCAGCTTATGTATCCTACAATGAGAATTCCCCAGAGCAATAAGATTGCACTTCTAATCTATGAAAACGTTTATTATAGTATATGGTTTGGAATAGATCCAATAAACATCGCAAGTGTTTGAATATTGGTCATCCTTCTGGAATGCTTGGAATTTAGCAGTATACTGTACAGGCATACAAAGATATTTATGCACATTGTTATAAAATCCTATTTCCCCTTCAGCAAACTTGTTCATAAACCAATAAAAACCCTTTATTCACAAATGTTTACGTTTTAGTTATTTTTATTAAAACATAGAAGAATAAATAAAAAATAACTTGAAAAACAAAGAATTTTAGTACTTAGTGTTATGAGTAATAGTAAAGTTATTTAATAAAATTTTGAAAATAACTCCTTTAAAAGGTCATGACATGCACACTTTAACCTGCCTGCAGCAAAAGGGTTAACTGCCCTCTTTATCGAGTGCCTGTACAGAGAATGGGACTAAAGACACTGTCCTTAATCTGGAATATCTAGATGCCTGTTATTACAAGATTTAATTTGGTTACGAATAGTATAAAAAAGAAAGAGACTGAAAAGGTCTGCCCTCAATAGCGAGGTGCCCATTAATTGAGGTTTTACTGTATCTGTGTCTCCTTATGACTTTAAAATTGTGATTGGAATATGTATGCTAATGTTACGTTTCACTTGTTTCTTTCTTGTCACTGGAAAAGCAACCTTGAATAGTTGAAATAAGGTATTAGCTATTGTATTATGCAAAGGTTTTTACTATTTGTTTGATTTGAACTCAAAATATGCACCAGTTACTGTAAAGGCATTTTAGAGTATTTCACTGAATCCTGAAATGTACCTCTGTGATTTTTGCAAAAATACCTGAGACTTTTGATGAGATAATGAAGATTTGACACTTTGTACATGTTTTTATCTTACTAGTTGAAGATGGGTAAATCTGAAGCTAGTAAAAATGTTTGGTTTAAAAACTGCCAAGGCTTAATTAACACTTAAGAATTTCATTAAGAATCTCTTTTTATACATTTAAACCAACTTAATTTATGTGAATGGAAAACTGATTGAAGATAAAAAATTTCACAATGCTTTTAAATTATATAGTGGTACATCACTGTTTATTAAATTTTGTGAAGTTCCAGTAAATGAGGAAGATCATGGCAAGTGACACCTAGTGTGTACTTTCACAAGTTCATTTATCTTGTATTGTCCCTACTCTAACAGCATAAGACTAACACTCCTTTTAGGAGCTTACTGGGAGTGATTTTACTCCATCAGTTTTGGAATATTTGAACTATTAAATTACATAAATTATTTTTTTTTTCATTCTGGTTGGTGTGTGTGGGGGAGGTTGTTCTTCAGAATACTTATGTATTTGGTGTCTCATTTTGTTACTATGGGATAGTATATGGACAGAGAGAGTATAAATTCACCACTGTGCAATTCTCTGTGGTGAACTAAAAATCAAGCTTTTTTTAAACTCTGATATTCAAACTAATAATAATGTGTAAACAGTAATTTAATTTATTTATTTTTTTCAGATTTTGCCAAAGCTATGTGCCTTAAGTAATGTGACTGATGCATCTGCATTCTCAGAGTAGTACAAAAGACCCACAAGGTATTTGATAAATATTTTCCTATTCTTTTATCAAAACCTTTGTTCATCACCTGGCATAATGACTAGTGTCTACTAACCTCGTGTCATAACTGCCACATTAAAAGAAGCTTTTAACTGTTATTTTATGTACATACAATGGTGCTAAAGTTACTTTCTTTGTTATGCCATAAGAAATTCAGGTTTCTGAATGTTAACTAGAAATATGTTGGAGCATAATAATGGTGCTTTTTTATGTTTATCTTATTTTTTGCTTCAAACAACATGTCCTTTATGCTGATGATAAGCAAATAAGAGTTAATCTTTTGGAACTTTAATGTGTATACAATGTTCAAAGTGATTTTAAGTTAAAGTATCACTTTAGTGATCCCACCATTTATTTTGAACATGAATGTATAATCATTCATTGTACTATCATCTTTGAATGGGCAGTTATAAGCTCTTTCATAATTATCCTAATAAATATCAAAAGTGTCTTATGCTTCTCTAATCATTGCTTGGAGAAACTGAAATATATTTACAGGATTTCCAACATGCGAGAAATTTAAATAAATAAATAAAAATATATTTAAGTGTGAATAACATTTCAATTTATGGATTAAAAGGCTGTTAGTTAAAGACAGATAATAAAATATGAGATGACGAGTGTTTAAATAGTTTCAAATATTATACCTAAATCCAGTGCCTTGATAGGTAATTACAACCTAACAAATTACATGCAATATTTTATGCTGTTTATACTGTAGTATAATCTTTTGCAGTACTCAAGAGCCATGGAGCCAGATTTATTTTGTTCATACTTTAATTGTTGCAATAACAAAACATCATAATGTGTGAACAGACTGTGGGAAAGTTGCAATAATCCTTAGTTGATATTTTCCATCAGTACGTAAACTTAGATAATTCTGAATAGCATATATAAACTGCACAATTTTTTGTGCAGAAATGATTTCTCTGTGTTATTAATTGCTGAATTTGTGTATAATTTTGGAAGCTTGTAGTTTTTATTTTTAGCCTGTATTGAAATCATTTGTAATATGGCTTTATCTGCATGCAAAGTTTTGAAGCACGTGTATTTCATCAACTAAAAAGTTTAACAGTTATGCAAGTAAGACAATATTTGCTAAAATAAGATTATTATTGTTTCTCTTTCCTTGCCATAGTTTTTCTTGTTGGCTTATTCTAATGCCCACAACACCAAAATTGATTGTCAGAGGTTATAGTATTTGGTAGTTGAACTAAGGAAATGACAGAAAAGGTATTTCTAGAGTCAAACATTGTTATTAAGTTGCATTGATTGTAAAATGTCTACTACTAAATGCTAACTTTTTGATATGACTACCATTCATATTTAATCTTTGTTTTTTTTTTCATTCATGACAGAACATGATACACAGTTGCACAATACTGTCTTATTTTCAACTGTTGCACTTGTAGGTCTGTCAAGGTAACAAGTGTATCATGATACACTAATGAGTGGAAATGGCCAGGTTGTAAAAAAATCAGGAGACGTGAGATCATGTTAACTGTGGGTGTAGAAAATGTCTGCTAATTACTCGGTTCCTGAAAGCATGTCCTAGCATTGTCTTGAGAGTAGGTACAATTTATGATGGAACATCCTCTTGTATTCAAATATTTTCATGACATTAGAATCTTAATGCTTCATAAGTGTTATTATCATAACTTGTTAGGAGCCATTTTTAAAGGTGGTATTAATCCTTGTATATTTGACACTAGTACTATACAGTCCCCTGTATAGAGGTACAATAATTAGCAGTCACTATCAAGAATTAGTCTTGTTAGTTCAGCTTCCAAATATTTTAGTTGTATTATGAATAGTTTTGGAGTTATGGGTATTAAAATGTCCAACTAACTTTATCCGTACATTAACAGTACAAAAAAAAAAGACATTTTAACTGTGTTTCTTTAGAGCAGTTTTAACTTAAGGTTAAATTTGCTTTTTGACTTGTAGCATTATTTAAAATGAAACGTTGCTTTTTCTTCAATTAGAGAAATGGCTCTATACTTACATTAAAGTTTTTAATCTAGAAATTGACTTTTGATTAATTTCATTCAAACTACACATGTACATATATATTTATAAAATGATAAGTTGGAAAGATGAGTGGTTGGACACAATTAAAATCTACTGCATACTGGCTCATTAATAGAGTATCTATGTTTTGTGTTAAAACAGATTTGGGGCTGTGATTATATCCTTGTAATAAAAGAACACAATATTATGTGTAGTAGTACTAAATGGAAGACAATGTGAGACTGAAGAGGACAAATGAATGTGTTGAAACTAGTTTCTCTAATATCAAGACTTCTGACAGTTTGTTCCATTTCGTATATCCTAGTAATACTGTATTGGAATTGCATATTTTAATGTTTTGTTGTTTAATGGCTCTTGTGTACAGTTTTAGATTTTTATATTTGATCTTTGAGGCCTTCTTATAATCAAGGGCTTTAAAGTTTTTGAACTTTCACAAGTTTTTTTTAGAAATGTTTGTTTCATGTTATTCTAGTAAAAACTAGTATGTTATGATTGTATCAATACAGATATGCATATGATGATCTCTACTTTTATAATACCTGATACAGATCTATTTGGCCAATAAGTGAAACCTTTCTCAGTGTGGTCAGCCAACACTGACATATAGTCCATAGTATGACTAGATCTGTCGTATTTTTATAAACAAATACATCTGGATGTAGCGAGCCAAAATTGTATTTGTGTCTAGAGTACATAGATTTAAAGAAGTGTGGTTGTCAAATATTTGACATTTAATAATCTAAACAGGTATAATCATATCTGATCAGCTAACTTCTTATATACATCCAAATCAGTTAAATGTGTATGTGATCAGATAACATCTGGTATATGTACAAATTAAACATAGAGCAGCCATGTCTCTTGAGATTTGTGGAAGATTCCATAAAATATGACCCAACTCAAAGTCCAGACAGGAAAAAACAACACAAAATATGTTGCATGTTCACTTGTATATAGAGACATGTCATTGAACATTACTTCGTTAAAAACATGGCATCATAATATACCATGAAAACTATGATGAAAAACAAACAACTTAAAATATGCTACATGGATCTCTCTCTAATATTTGCAGCTCTTCAGACATAACCAGATGTAATCAATGAGGTATAATCATATTTGATTAGATAATATCAGATATTTATCCAAATTAAACAGATACTGGAATTCTCAACACGAATGAATACTTATGTGTATATGGGTAAGCATATCAGAGCCCTCTAGGGTTTAGATAGCCAACCATAATTTTCAACTACTGACCAGAGCAAGGGCAGCCAGAAGCATGCACCACTACAAGGATGTTATGTGGATGTTTGAACTGAATGATGTGATTGGCTGGCAATTTTATAATGTGCCTACAGCTGAAAGTGTGGATTGTGATCACTGGAATCATGTCTCAAATCCTGAACTTTTTTCCAAGTTGACATGCTAACCACTAAGCCATGCCTGGCATAAAAAAATAAGTATAATAAATGTGTTTAGCTATCATACCCCAAAAATACAGATATGATAAAATCTAGCAAAATTTTAATTTCTTGTAATAACTGAAACAGTTTTTAAACTTGCAACAGACCCTTGGAGAAAGCTAATCCACGTGAAAATATCTTGTACAAGGTTTTTTAATTAACGTTAATTGTTTATGTTTTCTACAGTTTAAACAAAGGCATCTTACATTGACCATTTGAAGCACCACAAAAATTACCTGAAAAAAAGGTTTTTCAGTTTTTGTATTTTAATATCCAGAACAGATGGTAATGTAAAAGTAAACTTGATCTGGTAATACTAACCAATATCTAGGTATTAGTCATATTATTTTGCTTTCTCTAACTGCCTTTGTTGTAGTACAAATGGTCATATAAACATTAAGAATTGATACTTTACAATTGGATTTTTCAAAAATGTATGTTCTTTTCTGTGGCTTTTTATGCACCTTTGTATGTGGAAGTCCAAGCAGTAGCTGACATTATGAATCAGTGTCTTTACTTGGGAATAAATTAATGATCAAAGTTCTTAGACTGTGTTAAACTACTCAGCACAAAACTCTTGTGATAAGTGGTGGAGAGAAACACCCACATTTCCTCCATTTAAAAAGACTACAATGTGCCTATGAAATTTTAAAGAAATCTCTTCTCTACTCAAAAATTGGTATTTCTAATTTTTTTATAGTCTTGTGCTAAAGGATCACATGATGGTAGCTGAGATAGGCTTACTGTATGACATATATACATAAAACCTCCCTTTGAATTATTTATTATTAATAACTTCCATAATAGTGGTGTACAGTGTGCAACGTTTTCAGTTTTGCTCTGTTGGGACATTAAGAATAATTTATTTTTTCAGTTGATGAATGATAATATGTAATAAAAATGGTAAAATCAACAAACATAATTCATGGTAGGACTTTTAACAGTTAACAATGTTAATGAATGATAAAAATTATCAATTTGAAAGTATAATGGGGTGTTTAATTCAGTGTGGTTTAGATGAGTTTTATTGTTATTTTAGTATTAGAAATGTAGTACCCTGTCTACGTTTATAATTTGTTATTTATCTATGGGTTGTAATTGATGTGGTACTCTTTCTAAGTTTGTAATTTGTTTTTATCTATGGGTTGTAATTGGCATTAAATTTTCAATTATGGTGATGATTAGATAATTATGTACTTTCTGGTTGGTTTGTATCTTACATATGGTTGTATGTTATCAGAACAGTAACTATATTATATATATATATATTTTATTTAGTTAGAGTAAGAAACTGTGATAGTGTCATTTATTTTTTTTCATCAACATGTAGGTTAGTTAGACATGAATTAAAGAGGTGCTGAACAAGAAAGCCTGCTCATTTCTCTTTACTGTTGTAGAAATTCAAATGTATTTCCATGTCAATCTACATGCTTATAAAACCACTTAATTCGTAGAAAAAGAAAATCATCCAAAGCATTGCCAATGAACTATATAATTGCAGATCAAATTGTGAGTGAAGTTACCTAGCAAGTTAAATTTTAATAATCAATTTTGTGTTACTCTTTTAATTTAATTAAATGTTTATCTTAACATATAAAAAGTGATGTACCTATCAGTATCTACAATAAATCAAAACATTACAGAAACCAAAACTTAACCGATGTGAAAGACCGTTTTGTTCATACTTTGTTCATACATGAAAAGAGTAAATTCTGTGTTTATTGTAACAAATGTTATTGAATCTTCTGTTGTAAATTGTGATTTTCTTTTCTTTACATAATGACAAAATTAATTGTATACTCTCACTGGAACAGCACGATATGCAAGTGCTATTCCAGTAGCACGTTGCCATAACGCTCGGGCTTATGTATTTGGTTCATGGCAAATTCATGACCATCTGTTAATGCAGTGCCACCAAGTGTAAATTTATGGTTGTTGGGCTATGTCATAATATTTGGATACATTGTTAACGATATAGAGCTAAATAACACAACAGTTTGAAAAAAAAGAGCTTTTGTTTTTCTCAATGAAACTGGAAAAAACTTGCACAGCAGAGAGTTTGGGACATCACTGGGCTCTTTACTACACCCAATCCCCTTATTCCCAAAGTGAAGGCTTTGTATCGATAAAAGACCACCTGATCTATAAAGCCATTGTGATGAAAGTGGCTACGTGCCCTGGTACCATTAACAAGGCAAAATATAAAAATTGACACAGGTTCAAAATTTCCAGATAGAACTTGAAATCCAAAACTATATCAAGAGAAAGACAGCCGAAAAAAACAACAACAAAAAATTAGAATCACGACTATCCCATTCGACCTGTCAAGTCCTTGGTGCAGCTCTATTAAGCTGTAAGTTGTGCCTTTGAAGCCAAAGTACAAGTACAGTGGAGAATTTGCCAAAATATGTGGTCTGGGGTTTAACTTTGCGCAATTGCGGCTATCAAATTGAGCGCGTCCCTTAGTGGATCATTGGTAAGTTTACGGACTTGTAACGCTAAAATCTGGGGTTCGATTCCCTGCGGTGGACAGACTTCAGATAGCTCATTATGCGGCTTTGCTCTAAGAAAATAACAATAGATGAAGCCATTCCGAGGGTATTAGGGTATTTTTAAGTTGGATATAATATTATTAAAACTATGTATTTGAATTTTATCGTTTCTAAGGGAAAAAAGACCAAAACTTCATACAAAACATGAGTAAACAATTTTATTGAAGTTTGTTAAACACCTCCCATTGAGAAGGTTTTAATCTTTACAAGTGAGAGTTTATAGTAAAAAAAAAGCAAACAATTTGACAAATTTAGTAAAAACATGACCAGACTTGATATTTCGTTATATTTTAAGCTTTAAAACTTAGTTTCTGTCACCACGAGGTAAAACTGGTTTACACAACCTGAACATACTCAACAATTTTTACCATGTAAGATTTTATTTTTATATTTTATATTTTTTCTAACATTTACACAGATTCACTACAAAAGAGATACACCCTTTGTAAACGCATTTCCAAAACAATTCCAAATAATGAAAGCAAATTCTTAAATTTTGTATAAAATTCTTGCAATATATATTTTACAAGTATTTATTGAGCTACCGATTCAAATAATATACGCAGACCAATAGCGTAATTAGATTTTAGATTAAACGATGAATATACCTTCTCGCAACGAGGACAGATCGTTAGGTAACAACCAGAAACACAACTAAAAAGAAATTGTAATATCTAATTCCACTATACAAGTTTAAGTTTAAATAAAACCGTTTTCTTATACTTGTATATGTTTGGCGTTGGTACTATGATAATACGACCATAATCACAAACACCATTAAATATATTGAATATTGTTTATTTTACATTATTATAATTAGTCTGTTTTCATTACTAAATGAAATAGTTTCATGTCATATTTCTGTCGATTGTAGAAATAGCCATCAACTATGAGAAAACGGGCATATATATTTTCCATTTCCGACGCATAAATTTAAACTTAAATGTCTAGACGTACTGCTTCATCTAAGTATTTATCTTTTTAATTGACTAGAAAATAAAAATAAAGGTTAAAGTTGAGATGATTATTCTGGCACAAAGTTTAAAATTCTCTCGTTTTTGTGTGTGTGTGTGTGTGTAATTTTTACAAATAATGTTTTAATTGAATACAAAAAAGAGGATTCACGACACATTTATAGGTGGTACCCGACCTTAAAATTAATTTAAACAGTGCACGTAGACAGAATATAAACAAATGTACAAAAGTTTTCAGTTTTGCAAGATACAAAAGTCATAACTACCATACATAAAAGTTTGAATGCGCGAAGTTATAGAAACCTAAACGTTACGCGCACTTCAGTTGTAAGTACAAGGTAATTAAATGACACGCTAAAAAAAGCTACAAAGATGTAAGGGTGTATTATTATGAGTGTTCTTTACCAGACTTTCAAAGAACTATGGTGAGTTTATTTATTTACAATTTTGGATAACTTACAACGGTGTAATACTAAAGCGAGGTAGCCTTTAAGACGAAAAAGTGTGATATGATCACTAATAGTTTCAACAATTTTTTTTTTTAACAAACTCAATATTACAAAAATAACAAACTATTATGATTAACTCACTGGATGTAAATTTTTTTTATATCTCAAATAGAATTAGTGTTCATATATGCATGCAATAGTTTTGCTAAGTAATGCCATTTCTCTTTAAATGTCAGATTCTTCTATTTTTCGAATAAGTATTTAAGGATATATATATATATATACACGAATACTGTTAATACTTAAAATAGTTTAACACTTATGTTCAGTATAAATTGAAAAAGTAGTTTTCAGTCACCATTTATAATTGTTTTTAGAACACGTAGGTATTTGTACCTTTTCACGTCAAATGTTTGAATCAGTGTTATTCACGTGTATATCGATACCGAATTACATAGTTAGCATTACTACTCTAAGGTAATAGATATTTAGACCGTGATTATTTTAGTTATTCCGCATTATATAATTAACTGTATATATATATATATATATATAGGCATTGAAAATGTCAATTTCATATTTGTCCTCAAAAGTATG